TCGAAAGAGAATGGTTCCCTCGTTCCCATAATGCAGGTATATAACGTTACAAATAAGGAGGTATACTTCTGTCGAAGGTGAACAAGATAAATTGTGGTGATTAGAGCGACGTGAAAGTTTTACAAGTCTGTAACTGTAGTTTGCTTTCTAAAAATACTAAAATGTTCATAAATAATGCCTCAATTCTCTCTGGGAAGGTACATCTTATTTTTATTTTAGTCCTAGAATTCTTAAATACGTTGTTAAATAAGTTGCCAGGTGATCAAATGTGTTTATACGTGTGGCAATTTGAACCAAATGGAATCAATTTTAACGTTTCTAATTGTAGCTTGATATTCTTACGTTTATACAATTTAGGTTAGTTATTGTCATCATGACGCCAAATAATGGGCCTGAAGAAAGATACAACTCCACATTTGCCAGCGTCAGAAATGTTACATAGATGAGGTATTGAAGGGCCAAAAAGCAAATACATAGATATAGATAAATATACAATATTGCCTAATTATTAAAAATTATCGTATAGATTTTATCAATGATTAAGTTATTGTGGCAGAGGAATTGAGAAGTGTGAGTGAGTTGAATATATAAGGAATCATGACGTAATTAATTGCAGCTGATTTAGGGTCCTGCAGAAATGATTGGTCTCCTCTTCCACTACTTATGCACTACTTAGTTACTACATTATTTCCGTTGCAATCATTTGTACCAAGAAAATGAGGACTCCTGCAACCCAGGAGGAACATTAAAATCCATAATGCAGACCCCAACTAAACATTGAATGCCTGCATTAAATTATCAATAACGTTTCTATTATTGTTGGTCAAAAGGAACGTCAATACTGGTTTTACTTATAAATTTCAACTAAGTACCTGATAAAACGGTGTCCTCCTGGACTGTTGAGCTGCTCCGCCAAACTATTGAAAAGTAGGATGTGATAGGTGACAAACAGAAGCACGATTTAAGTAATCATTTTCATCATCATCAACGTTAACCCGTTATACGTTATGGGTCTCCTCTTTGGAAAGTCTTTCTTTTTTCCCTTCTTACCACGCTGTCTTAATGCAAGTTGGGAACTTCACACTTTATCCAAGGATTAATAACCTTCTTCGATATGCAAGTTTCATAATATTGCTTATAGTTTCACAAAAATTAGACATTAATGTCATATGTACGTGCAGTCGGAGGGAGTTGAAGCGTCAACCTCTCAATTGGGAAATAACCAATCTCCCAATAGGTTTTTAAATCGAATATAAAAATCGCAACTTTTACCATAGACTATGTAATCAGTCACTACTTTTACCTTTACCATTAGCAATTCAAAATTGAAATTTTTTAAAAATTGTCTAGTTTTTATAGCTCAAAGGCGCGGGTGATTGTAGGTACAGTCTAAATATTAAACTGCTACGTTTCTGTTGCGTTGATTACCTAATGGTGTGGAACGACGAAATGGTGTTTTTAAACAATTTTGAAGCTGAGCCCATCGTACTAACTCCAAAGAATGTCCATCATAAAAAGGTTTTGCTAGCACACATGTAGAAATAAAGAAAGTTGTCATCCATAGTCAATACGTTTGGAAATTGTATAAAATATAATGTAGTGCGGGCATCGTGGATTATTACACGATAATTCGTTTAGAATTTCAAAGCCGCTAGCGTGACCATCGCAATAGCGCGATAACTTTTTATCTAGCAAAACATACGACGCTTCGGCGGGCTTTGATTCGTGACGATAGATGCAAGTGCGGCCCCAGTATAAGAAAAAGTTCACAAAACTAATTTTTATCTTCTCCCTTCGCTTCACAAGTCAGTCGATGCTCAAGTTCGAGTAACTCTTTACCAGACGAAACTACAATTAGGTTTTCTTGTCAGTTTTATATGTATAGTATCTAAGTATTGACACCGATTTAGACTTTCAGTCTAATTTAGGGATTTAGGGTGTCAATCTTAGAGGATGAAAAAAAAAAGAATAATAAGGTGTCATAATCTAAGGTGTGTCAATACGTAAATACTAAACAAACAATAAGAATGTTAAGACACATTTAACATAAATGTAGAACTGCTTTAAACTTTAAAAAAAACGGTTAAATTAAATTAAAATAGTCTTTAATTTAAAATGTATTTAATTAAATTGTATTAACTCCAAAATTTTAAGTTATATTCACATTCGCATACATGAGCCATCTCGTGATGCTGTCTCGAAACTTTTCTTTTTAGCAAACACTTTGATGGTAAAGTTGACGTAGGTAACGCTTCATCCAGTTTTGAAGAAAAGTATTTTGTTACTCAACTTATCGCAAGATGGCTCTGCTGGGAGGAAAGCTTCCGTTTCATCCAACTTTAGTATAGATGGCGCTAAGTTCTTGCATTCAAACTTACTATGAAAAGATTTTCATTTCATCTCATCGGTTCTCGGAAAATTGTGTTTTTGAGGAAATAATGATCCCGTGATTAATTACGCTTTTTGAATAGATGATGTAGTAGGTATGTCTGTGTAGGTGTATTGTAAAGAAACAATTAATTGATTGTTAGAGCGTAAAACGGACACGTTAATTAACGTAATATAGAGTGGTGAATTACGAATAAAACGTATTTTTTTAGATCTTTTAATCAACAATGTTATTAAATCACTCTTTTTCTATTAGGATTTAGTAGATAATACTTACCTTGCCATGCCAACTCAACGAACGTTGTTCGCTCTGTTATTTGTTCGAGAAATTCTTTGACAGTTAATTTAGTTTCCTTGACTAGTCCTCATTCGTCTTTCTGAGCCATTTAATAAACCTCTACTAAGGGAGAGGCCATTTTTTATGATCGACGTTTTAAGCTGGGACCGACAGGCTGCGTTTTTGCTGTCTTAGACAAGTTTGAGCTTGAAAAGGGTACTCCCTCCCTAATCAGTTAATGCCTGACCCTATATTTTGCTGAATCTCGTGGCCGGAACCTTTTGAATGGAATAGATTTCTATGAGACATGCAAAAGCTAATAAATGCCAACTAGCTTCTGTTGGTGCATATTTTGACTTTTCGCTTGATTGTTGTTTACTTTACGTCATCATCAATTGAATCAAACAATCCAGGTCGTGATGATCCTATCATAATTTTTTAGTCCTGATAATGATTTTTCACTTGGAAATAGCAAAGTTCTCACTTCCTTCGAACCGGGCCAATCAAGATTTCTCACAGTCAAGAATGTGGTTCAGTAAGACATGTATCTTACAATTGCTCACTTATTTTGTAACTGATTCAGACTCATAACATGTGCATTAAAATTAATTGAAACATCTAGGTTTTTCGATAATTTAGCCAAGTACTTTTTTATTTGGCAAATTAAATATTTTTTCGGATCTAAATCGTGTATAAGTTTTTTTTTTCAAGTAAACCAACGTTCTTTTTACTTGTTACTTTTTATTATCTACGACGAATCGCAAAATGTATCTGTCTGTCTTTAATAAAGTGTATTGTCTACATTTTCTCAACCAAAAAGTCATTATTCGTCGGCCGATCTGTATGATTCCGCGGCCGCTAGAGTTACACTGCAATTTCACGGTGCCTTGAGCGAAAGAATTCATTGATACACCAATATGCCATGAAATATATACCTTTGTGAAACGAGGAAACAATTTCTTATTTTACCTCGCTTGGCTCCTTGGAGACGCCAATTGTTATTGGAATTATTACAGTGATTGGAAAAAATCGATTTTGTGGCACTATGGCGAAAGTGAGTAGGCGGAAGGTTTTATAGGTATATCAAATTACGATTGTCCATCGAGAGTTATGCTCTAGATACATATTTAGGTTTGTTAAAACCAGCGATGATTCAGCTAATGCAAAAATGCAATGTAGTACGTAATCAATTGCGACCACGAGAGTTGTTGTGTTGAGATATATATCTAACGTTTTTATTGTTTTTTTTATTAGTTATTTGATAAAAAAAGATATTTTCAACATTTTTCCTTAAATTTTGTAAAATGCTACCTGTTAAGAGCTCTCATGCCAAAAAAGTTTTGACGTTGGCTCCGCCCAAATTTGTGGAACAAATATATGCCTGAAGTTCGTGTGACATGCGACAGGAGATGTTGAATATTGCGCATTAAAAGTACCAAATTCGTTTTAGCGGAATAACTCTAAAACTAAAGTGATTAAAAAAAAATCCGTAGTGATAGGTGTCGATCATGCATAAATATAATTAATTATCTAATTTTTGTCCTAATAACCTGTAGCATTTCGAGGATAAATCGAAAAAATGTGAAAATTAGAGGTCATTTCGTGATTTTTATCTACCGAGGAAACTTTATTGTTTTATGTTTCTGATTAATGTCTGTGCTTGAATATATCGTGTAGTTACTCATACAGCATTTTATTTTTGACTTTAAAGTGGATATACCCCTCTAAAATCAAATCGAAGATCAGGAATTTTTCCTCTGCTCCCTGTTAAATAAACAATTACTTGTGATGGGTTTCTTTGAAATCAGTTCATCGGAAAATTATATCTGCGTTTTTTATAAAAAGCGCTCAAAATGTCTACCAACAGAAAAAATCGGTAAACATATTTAATGTTTTCTGCATGTAAATACTTAAAGCAATTAACTACATCTGTAATTGAAATTTCGCGTACAACTTTTCCACAAAACAATTATTTACGCAAAGTTAGAGTTTGTAGAATAATTAAATTGTTATGCGCTTACTGATAATATTTGGAAATCGGAATTCATGACACCAGGAAACGCTCCTATACAACCTTTAAAATGTTTCAAATATTTTTTCTCAATAATATTACAATTTAATGTCTTTATTACATTGCATTACCCAAGATTTTGTGCAGCGGACAAAATAATTTACATTACAAGCACAGCTTACCTTTAGGTACGTTCATGTTCTTATGTTCATGTTCTCTCAACATGTTCTCAAAAATCAGTTCTTCAAAAATGCTCAATAACAGCATCACAAGATACTTTTATTTTTCATTTTCGAGTTCTCTTTACAATAAGTCTTTTTATGTCTAACTTATGAAATAATCGTCCAACAATTTATTAGGGCTGTTGAGTTCCAATTTGGGCAGTAATGTTACATGACGTGACAGACGTGGGTCGATGCCCTGCACTATTTCGACTGTCAGGAACAATATACGATTGTTTCGGATCACCGAGTTCGTTTTGTAAAAAAACTGATTTGATGTTGGACGAAAAATCAAATCAATTGAGTGCAATATATGTATATACATAAATGTATACGTTATAGTATCTATTAGGTTATGGGCCGGAACTATATCATATAGATAGATACGTCATACATATAAATGCGTTCGTTTTGTAGGCATTAACCCTGATCTTACCACTGCCAACTGAAGATCGCCTGCTACACTCTTTGCGGGTATCATACAGACTGTCCGAGATAATTAAAGGACAAGGCCCCACTAGGCCCCTTGATGATTTAGACCCGTTCTTAGCAGGTGGCGGCGGACAACTCACAGTCAAGTTGCTATCGATAGTATTCCTGCTGTACATGATGATCGTGTATGCTACTATCCTTGTTTCAACCCATACGTATGCCTGGTACCCGTAGATCAAACCTCCTGGTATTGGCCAAATGCAACACCAAGAGGGGACTAACACCATCTTGGTCTTGCGTCAGTATACTTGGTCATGGTATTGGTCTTGCTCTAGCGTCAGTATACCTGGTTTTGGTATTGCAGATTCAGTTTTGGTCTTGGTCTTGCTGCAGGAGTCTCGTCAGTCTTGCAAGTTTTGCAATTACCTATTGCTACCTAATAAATATGCAAAAATACCTAATGCCGATTATTGTAAACAGTAGGTTATCATAACGTGACCATAATGTTAGAATTAAGCACGATTCTTTTAAACTAATTAATATCTGCTTGAAGTGGAGAACAAGGCAGCGTCAAAATGTGCACGGCAACACTAACGACAGCTTTCTTACATTGTCATGAAGTGCGTCCGTGCTCGTCGAGCACTAATAGAGTTCAATATCAATTTAATAAATTTGATATTTTTCGATAGGTTGACCTGCCGTTGACTGTGTATAAATACCTATAAAAAGCAATAAAAATCTAAAAAACAGAGTCAGTCTTGTTCTTACCCAAATCTCTTTGTACCTCGTACTGAATGTAGGAATCTTCATTCTACGTATTTTTTTTTAATATTCATTATCGGAGCTCGAAACGGCAACGGTGCCAAGTTCCAGTGGTACAAATGATCTGTCATTGATTTATATAATTCTCTCACCTTTCTCTTTCTCTTATTTTATTTATCACTGCCCAAGATGTATCTGGGAAGATGCAGACACAGCATTTTTATACAAGTTAATGTTATTAGATCGTCTTTTGGCGTTACTGAATTGCAATTAAGTAAATGCTAGACAACCCTAAATCAATTTCCAAGATCTACCTGCTGTAACACATAAATCCGCCATGATATTTTTGTATAACGAAGAATTTTCGTTTTAAAAGAGTCACAGAGATCAATCATTTTTCATTCAAAGTTAGTGTCTCCCCTTAATCCTCATTTCATTCAAACTCTTATCTCGGAGATTAAATTAGCATTTACTCTAAACTAGCTCGCTTGATTTATGGAAATTTTATTTTAATCAATAGACGTTCTAAAATAGACTTTTCGGTGGCTCTAGCATTGTATGTGGAGATCGCGGATTTATTGCCGGTTTTACCATTTAAGAAAACGAACTTTTGAAATTGGTTCAAGTCCAGGTGGCCGTCCCCGGATTTAATTTCATTACTCATAGCTCAGGGAATCCCATTAGTTCATTTTCATTTTAATATTAGACGTGTAACTCTGTTAATTTGAAATTGTACTGTATTAATAATTCAAAAGCACCTTCCTACAGACAGTTTTAGTTGTATTTGTATTTCGTATTTTGTATTTCCACTGCAAGTTCTTAGTGGGTTCTCGCTTTGACTAATTAAGGGGCCTTTGAAACTACGTACCTAGTTACGTTAGGGGTCTTGGAAAATTAAATTAATAGAACCACGTCTTACTGGCACTAATTAACGTAAAAAAATAATATTTTAATTTCAAAGTGAGGAACCAAACAGAAATCAAAAGTCAAAGAGAAAAAACACAAATTTTCAAAATATAAACAATTTGCTAGACTACAAACAATATCACTATCGATACAAAAAGGATTCTTCAGTAAAAGAAGTAATAGTTCAAAGCTATCAAAGCTATGTTCACAAAAATGAAAATTACGATTGCCTTCCAACACCACGAAACTTTTCGTTTTCTTTAATGACCCATATACATAAGTTAGAAAAGCAACTATGTATTTCGTTTTGTTTTTGACTAACATTTTCTCGGAAGCAATCTTGTTTCCGACTTGCCGAGCGCGCTTTTGACTCCCGTAAAGCAATCAGCGTTGTCTACAGAAAGATCGGAGTTGAATAAAAGTTCATTTACCAAAGGATCACAGAATCATTCTACCCTTTTGTACATACAGATCGGACGAGCGTCTGTAAATATTGAACATCTTTTTTTTTTAACTTTTATGCGTATTTTGGGGCATCGTCGTATATTAAAACAAATTTTCTACAGATGTGTACGCGTTAAACAAAATATATATAACACAAAAATGTCTTGCCTTGTAAAAAATAAAGTTGATAATTACTGTCAGCTCGAGATTATGAAAAATATCCGTGCAATAAAAGTTGATAATAGTCGGTAAACTCTCTCAACGGGTCTCAACATGTTCTTTGCACAAGAACTCGAATGCTTCTTTATATTTCTTTTTCTTTTTTTTTCATGACACTCTTACTGATATAATATAAACCACTTTCTGTATATAAACTGGATTTGCAACGCTCAGCCGTATTACGTAACCTATTCACGTTTGCTTTTTGCCAAGAACATTTTTTGCGGTTACCTATTTGCATTAATATCACTTTTTGATCTTCCCTAAGTAAAAGATTTGAATGTATTATCTCTCCTTACACTCAAGCAGTATACAAGGAGAGCGTTTCCGAGAATAAAGAGTGTATTCTACTTGCGACTCTATATTAATATATGAGACACCATTACCGTAGGGACTTTGTCTCCGATCCTCTGTGTATTTTGTTAAAAAACATGTCTACTCTCGCAAACTACCCAATTTTTTAGTTACTAGCAAACAACAAGGGTAAACTAAATGTAGTAGCAAAAATTAATGTTAAAACCAAAATAAAAAGTTACTTATTCATAATATTAATTTCCCGAGAATTTCCTAAGGTTTTGAGATAGTACAATTGAAAAGTCGTAATACATTGTATTTTACAACACAAGTCCCGTGTGTCGTGGTATAAACAGTATACTACTTTTCAGGACACGTACGCGGGTACGTGTCCGCTCCCCGCCCATTTCCGTAAGCGAAGTGCAATTAGGAACTTATCGCGGAGATACGACGCAACTTGCCACTTACTGCCCTACTCTCTGTCGTGTACCACCTTGATATAATTTAAGGGATCGTTAGTAAAAGGGCAGCTTTCTTTCCTCTAATATCTTTTTTATCCATTTCTATGACAATTTTTTGATGGCGCTGCCTAAGGTGACAGATGATATGACAGTAGTTACCACAGACCACATAAATACTAGTAATAGACTGGTTAGTGGACGGGATCCGCGTTACCTAGCTTATCACTAGACGGGCATATGAGAGTCAACAGCGCGTCAGTCGTCGTTCAAATGTGATACATGATTATTATGTGGAAAAAATAGAAACTTATAATTATAACTTACAATTATGCCATTATATCATGTTGCGTAAGAAGCCAAAGTTTAAAAAAATACTCCGGCAGTGATTTCCTTCCATCGGTAAGTACTAAAACTCTGTATTTTCTAATATTTTGAACAATAGAATACTATAATTTCGAAATAAAACTATTTTCTTGCAACTCGGTAACAACAATATACATTGGTTGCCGTCTAAAGAACAATTCGAATGACGCTCAATGAATTACTTGCACTAGTGTCGTTTTACACTTGGTACTGGGTCCGCGTGTTGTAATCAAATTATCGATATATAGAAACTCTGTATATAGAAACACGGTTTTGGTTTAGTTCAACATTTTTTTATTATAGCGTTACCAATGTGTAAACATAAATTGTTTACAGGTAAATTAAGGTAATTAATAATTAAGGTAAAGTAAATTTTAAATGTTTGGTCCCAACACTCGCAATAGATTTTTTAAATTTTTAATTGAAGTAAAAACGATATATTAATGGAAAAAAGGAAATTTAGATAGAAGAGGTAAAGTGTTGATAATTTTACAATGCACGTAAGTTCGTGGAGTATCAAATGAAGACTTTATGAGATTGGAGATTTTCTTTCCCTTCTGTACACGATTCCTGTCTTCCTATTGCTAATTATACGTCACCTTCGTCCGCTTGAGTTCTTAGTTTTATCACAGGCATGATTTACATTTGCAGTTTTTGTATTGATTTTTTAGTTTCCCGCTAGATCCTTTTTAAAGGAGAAATGGGCTGAAACAACAGGCAGTAAAAGCTGGGTACCTACTAAATGTAGCACCATTTGCTATAGGCATTTCATGACATCACATTAAATTATGTACATATGAATAACAACCTAAAAATTCATTAAGAAATAAATCATTCGGTTAATCAAGTAATATATGACATGAAACTCCGAGTCGCATTCCCAAATTATAGACCACATCTAAATGTGAAAACATTTCTGAAGCATTGTCAGTTATTTTTCGTCAAGTTTTCAGGAAACAAATGATTCGCTTCTTCGCCTTCGGAAATAAGTACCTTCATTTTCTTGACAAGCTCGTCGACGACGCTAGTCATGTTCAGTCAGTTCAGAAAAAGGTAATTGTTGAACAAGTATATCATATTTCAGGGAGAACAAAGATTTTTATGATGACTGTGTTTTAATATTTCAACCCTTCCAGTGGTCGGATTGACTTGAAATCTAGTAGGTTAATGAAAGTACGATGACAGTATAATAAATCAATGATAGTGTGATTGTAGCATGTAGCTACGTTTAGGTACGCACACGCCTGCGTAGGTTATATCAATTAATATTTGCGTGTAGTAAAACCTTATGCGTATTTGGTAAGAAATGTGTGCGTGTAAAAGTCAGCTACGCTAGTTCTCGAAGAAGTTGCTTTAAATGCCGTTTCCATATACTCCGTGGTTAACCCTAATTATAGCAAGTATAAAGCAATGCCTAGTTCAATATTCCGCTAGTTATGAAACATAATGTCGATATCAATTAAATGTCACATCCCTATCTGTAGATTGTCAACTTTTTGCTTTTGTTCCAAGTTGTGTTCATAGGATTCTTAGCTTTTATGTGACTAGTAACTAAAACCTTATTAGATCCAAATAAGTTTCAATTTTTTTTACCAAAAGTTTTTTATTATTGTCTATTTTCGTTTGATAATTTATAACCAATCAAAATTCTGTTATCTTAGTACTAATGTAAGATTACATTTTCAAATGTGTGCATGTGGCGACACCGGTTTTGATACAAATGTCGCTTGATGCCAATTCCATTCTTTTCTTTCTTCCGTGGTAGTTACTAAATTTTCTCATGTAGCATTCACGG